AAGTTTTTTTTTTTTTTTTTGGTGGGGGGTTCTTTTTTGAGATAGGGTCTCCCTGTAGCCCCAGCTGTCCTGGTACTTGCTATGTAACCAGGCTGGCCTTGAACTCACAGTGATCCGCCTGCCTCTGCCTCCCGAGTGCTGGGATTAAAGGCGTGTACCACCACGAATTATATCTGTTTATTTTATGAGTGTGGGGGCACGTGTGCCATGGCACATGTGTGTCAGGGGACAGCTTGCAATAGTCCATTCTCTTTTTCCACTGTGTGGGTCTAGGGGAGTGAACTCAGATGGTCAGGCTTGGCAGCTGGCACCTTTACCCCTCACTAGCCTCAGTTGCTTCTCTGAGTGGAGTTCACACACAAGGTGGCTAAGCCTTGATGTCACAGGTTAACTGTTTAGCGGCTTTGTTTCTGAGAGATTTGATGGCTCTACCAACATCAAAAGGAGCGTGACCTCCTCTGGTCTCTGCCCATACTGCCATCGTGTGTCTGTGTGTGTGTATGTGTGTGTGTGGTGTGTGTCTTTGTATGCCTCCCAAACAACCAGGAGTCACATACGGGGCACACTTCCCTTCCCTCGCTGCTCTTGTGTGGCCTCCTGCCCTGTGGTCAGTTTGTAAAATGGAGGACTTGGAGCCATAGGGACACAAGCGCACGCTGGTGACATCCTTTGTTGTTTCTGCCCAGCTGGGATCAGACCTTCCACATCAGGGTCTCTCCTCCCTTGGGCTCAGAACATGGAACTCCCTGAAGCTTTTGGCCTCCAACTTCCCTCCACACACACACATCTCTGCTGGTTACAGGATTGCCCTTACTTTCCTGTTTTCAGGACCATTTGCCTCTGGTCACTTCCTCTTGCTCCCTGTGTACCTGTCTCCTGCTAACCTGACTCAGGTACTTACCCCAAAAGGGCAGGGATCACTCTCATGTACTGTTTTCTGGGTGTCTCCATTGCCGTGGATATGGTCGGTGTATTTCCTTTGTTTACTTCTGTGACTATGAGGCTGGCTGGCCTTGGGCTTCTTAGGGACTCTCTGAAAACCTCTTTCTCCCTCCTCCTGGCAACCAGGGAGCTCTGCAACTTGCTGGCCTTGCTTTCATCTCAAACTTCTATAAAAGGACCCTTGAGTTTCCTTCTGAGTCTGTTTTTAGGTTATTTTATCTATGAGACTAAGTGTTGTTGTCTGCTGCTGCTGCTCCTGCTGTTTGCGATAGGGTCTCCCTGGAGCTCCAGCTGGTCAGGAACTCACTAATATAGACCAGAATGGCCTCACAGAGATCCATCTGCCTGCTTCTGCCTCCCAAGTGTTGGGATTAAAGGCGTGTGCCACCACACCCTGCTTTAGGGACTAAGAACCTGCCAAAGGGACTTTGTGTTCCCTGGTAACAGGATTGTAGGGGCCTGCAATACCACACCTGATGTAAATGTATTTTATCTCCTCTAAAACAGCTTTATTAGGGGCTAGAGAGAGGGTCCAGGGCTTAAAGAGTGCTCGCTGCTCTCAAAGATCAGGGTTCAGTTCCCTGCACCCACATGGGAGCTAACGACTGTCAGTAACTCCAGTTTCAGGGACTCAGACGCCCTCTTCTGGTATCTACAGGTATTGCATGACACAGGTGCACTCACATACATGCAGGCAATACACTCACACACATAAAATAAAAATGAACAAAAATTTTAAACCAGCTTTATTAAGGTGCAGTTTACAGACAACAAAAATAACTCATTTTCAATGTATCTGCGCATGAGCTTTGGCAACTTGGAGCAGCCCCTAGTCAAGAGGAGCTTTCTCACCCCCTCGGAAGGGTCCCTCTCCCATCTGCCCTCCGCTGTGTCCTGGGACTGCAGATTAGATGACCTTCACAGGCTTCTAGCTGTCCACTGCCTATTTGCTCCGGCTTCTTGGGTCGGGCGTGGGGTGGGGAGCACAGCACACACTTCTGCTGTGATCCTTTAACTTTGCCCCCTTTGCTTGCAACGTAACATCCTGCAGGAGTGACATCTCTCACCTTTTGATGGACACATGTTTCTGGGTTGGGGCTGATGAGGAGTTCCGAGCACCCTGGGTGATGAATCTGTCTGAGTGTTCACACTGCTTCAAACACTTTTTCTGTTGAAGTGAA